ATATATATAATACACACACACACACATATATATATATATATATATATATATATATATAATGATCAAACCCATTAGACTCTAATGTACGGAGTCCATTCTAATTATATAAACAGTATACACCGTAGCGGCCGCGTCAGACAGTCATTATAGGAAATACATCAAAATTAGAACACTTAGAATACCAGTCAAACTTCAAGCACAAACCACTAACGAGAATAGAACCAGAAACCATGGGATTTTTCTACAATACATATACATACTACTGTCTGGAAGTGTTGTCTCTCATGTTCTTCCTCTGACATGTCGTTATGTGCGTGAGCGTGAGTGTACCCATCCGTAGTCGGATCCGCATCCATAGTCACTGTCAATATCACAATTGTAGACCAACTAGAACTTGATGGGGGATGTGAAGCTTCTGTACTGTTATTCAATATACAGTATACACTATTCAACTATCGTCACTGTGCATACTTATCCGCCAACTCTATATTTATTACCTACTTTTAGTTCTCTACGCATACTCTCTCTCTTCCCTCTCTCGCTCTCTCTATCAAAATAAATACAAATACTAGAGCAAGTCCATAATCCATAGAAACCGAGATAGTGAGAGAGACCCTGATGGACTGATCGGATGAAGATGCGCTTCATGAAAATTTAAAATAAATTGCCATCTGATGATCTGAACTCCTCCTCACCTCCTGTCTAAAGATTTTATAAGGTTTTAGGGTTTTAGAATTTTGGGGACACTTGTTCATATTCTATTGTTCTAAACTCAACGAACAGGATAAATATGCCATTATGCCTGATAAATATCAGGTGTAGCTTCCCGGAGGAAAACCATATTCACATTCTCGATTCGCTAGGCGTCTCTCTACTGAGCCTCTACCTTAGAGTGCTTACTGTATAGGAGTTCGCCGTCGTATGGCCCACCATACTAGTAACTTTTGAGTGTACATGTGTACGCAGATATCTACAAATATCTACAAAATAAGAGTTTGACAAATTGAGTGGACAACCTGTGAGGAGTCGACCACCTTTGAGAGCTACCGAAAACTATATATCATCTGTGCCTCAGCACAACAACACTGAATGCTAATATATATAAATATATATACATATAAGTATTCCATATA